ATGCACCCTGCAAAAACTCATGAGAATGACTAAGCATTTAACAGCCTGAGCTAGACAGCCTGGCTCCACTAAACATTTCTAATACAACAAATATCTAACCAATATCTATCTGGCTAAAAAATTACCTAACAGTACTGATTAGGAATGAACTACAATATCCATAAACTGAGAGGTTTCACCTGGCACAGCAACCACAGTGGAATGTGTGAGACTGAAGCAAGGGGAACTCCAGGACACCCAGAAGATCACCTATAGAGAAACAAAAACCCATTTGTTAGGTACAAATGTAGATTGTTAGATTTTACCCAAATTCTTTTATTGAAAGCGTGAGAAGTGAAGACAGGAGAGGACTGTTTAAAATCAGTAGGAAGTTTACTGGAAGTCTGAGCACAGTTAGAGCCATACAGCGCTGGGATCAGAGAGATAGAGCTCCTGCAGGAGATCCGTCATCTGAACCCCGAATTAAGTTCTTACAATACATTTTATCTTCTTGGGCTGCTCCACCCTGAACAGGGGTGCAACCTTCAATAGTTCGTGATCCTATTGGTCATTTGGTGTGAGCCAGAGCTCGCACTTCCATGTTGAAATATGGTAAATCTAGGTATGTGTATGTGGGTGTGTGTGTGTGTGTGTCTCTTGCACCCTGATCTTGATCTCGAGGAGCACTCATCAATGGGTGGCCTGAGTTGCAGGCCCCCTGTGTGTGTGATGCTAATAAGTATGTTAAACTGGCCAGGTGGTCATCTCAGGTTGTAGCCCCTGGCCTCTGCAGGACGTCCTAAGACAAAGCAAAGCTTGGGATATGCTAAGTGGGTTGAGGTGTGAGTGTAAAACAGGCTTTGTGCTAAAATGTAAATGGGCTGTCTGGTCACAAGGAGATGCAGACATCCTGTCTCTACACAGAAAGTTACAGCATTCAAAGTATGCAGATTCTACTTCATTACAGTTGTAAGATATATAAGCAAGAGAAATAAATGTATTAAAATAACCAAAGCTCAGTAGTTCTGGACAATCATCAATACAGCTGTTATATGTATAGACAAGGAAAATAAAGTTATGAAAAGTAACTAAAGGGAACTACAGGTATGAGAAGTAACTAAAGCTGATAAAGTGACTAGAGTCTGTAAGACTGAAATCTTACAAGATAGAGTGCCATTCATGGTCATAGGATGACATGTCTTAACAGGATGACATGCGTATGCTCAACTTATATGCTAATAAAGTAAAAATAAACTGAAATTAATGGACATAATTTTCAGAAAAAACAATCCAATGGGTTGCTGCACCTTTATTAGCTTAGCATTTAGCCACAAAGAAATGTGAAATATCTGTACAGGGTCGTTCATACCTGTTGGGTGAGCAGCAAAGGCCAGAAGCAGTACACTGTTATTAAGAGGCAGGAAAGTCTGTCATTATTGACTGATAATACTTGAAATTACAAGAAGTAATATTTTTGTGATGTGTCCCGTTGCACTGTTTACACTAATCCACTAGCTTGCTGTGCTACCAGAGTAGTGTAAACAGAGCAGAAACCTCATGCATACACAGCTGACTCCTTCATACTTCCAAGGCTGTAAACAGTGACGGCCCTCTGGAGTGGTTTTCACATTTTCCAAGCAGTAAGCATCTGTCAACCTAGTTTTTTTGCAGCATATCCTGCACTGCACCACCTAGTGGGATAAACACCTCCTGCTCACCACCAGTCAGACAGAAAGGATGAAGCCTGTTGGATGAGAGGTGAAACGTCTTCTACCTAAAACTATGTCCAGATGCTTTTTTCAGCATACTACGACCTGGGTGACTGAGAATTTACACGGATGTGTTCCTACTCACTTTGGGAATGACACCCTTTGACTATTACGTGAGTAGGAGAAAACAGGAAATGTATTTGATTTCAACTATATTAAAATATGAACATCGATTTTCGTCTATGCCTCTTTTTGGTTTATGCATGTGCAACAGCCTGCAGGCAGCAGAGGTGTATTCAAATGAACACAGCTGTGGCAGTGCTCATTTACATGATCAGCATTTGTAAATGTGCTGCTAAACTTAAAAACTGGTGCTACAATATTTTGTGCATCCATTTAAATACAGACTACAGTAATACTTTAGCTGTATAACACTAGATTAGTACATTTAACATCACAGAATCTGCCTCAGATCCAAATAATGTATCTTAGTGGTTTCCTCTTACCTGCACAGGTAGTTAAGGCACTGTTGTTCAAGGTCACTGCAATGAAAACATCAGGCTATTTAAACTGAAAAACTGCATTTTTTTTTTTTTTTTTTTTAGGTCGAAGACATTTCACCTTTTTTTTTTAAATAGAAGATGAGTAGCACATTAACAAAACAGTACCGAACATGGGAGACAACAGATACATGACATTACAAAAGGATATAGAGTTTTACAAGATTGAAGTGTGGGTATTTCCAACTTATGCAGTCTATGAAATGCAAGAAAGGGAAAATAAATAAATAAATAAAATTTAATTATGATGATAACAGTGCTACTAATAAAATCAGCTTGTTACATTTTTAGAGGTTGGTGGGAATGCGCATGGCCTCAGCCCCAGGTGTTTGGTTCAAGTTGAAATGTGTTAAAAATGGTTCTATGTGTCATAAAAAGTTGATATCATTTTCTCTAATGTGATGTATTCTATCAGAAGGTTGGTCCAGTGGTTTATGTGTAGTCATTTATTTGATTTCCAGGTTTGAAAGATTGTTTTCTTGTAATAGCTAGAGAAATGAGTGGGTTTTTGTATTTATTTGGTCGGTGGTCGATTTCTATGTTATTACCGAGTAAGCAAAGTGATGGAGAAGGAGGGATTCGACAGCCAAAGATGGTGGAGAGTTTCTCAGTCACTGCTATCCAGATGGAATAAACTGGTTGGCAGGACCAAGTAGCATGAAAATAATTGTCAGTGCAACCTAGAGTGCATTCTGAGCAGATGTCTGTGTCAGTGAAACCCATTTTGAACATTTTACTTTGTGTAATATGGGTCCTGTAGATGGTCTTGTCTAAGTTGTAAGTTTATGTTGCTGGTCATAGAAAACATGTTATTGCAAATTTCTGTCCAGAAGTTGGAGTTGAGAGAGGGTTGAATCATTTCCTATTTGAGTTTTGGTATTGTTACTGTTGAATCTGTATTTGATATGAGTTTATATAGCTTGGATATTATTTTCTTGGAGGATGTAATTTTCATAATTTCCTCAATTAATTTGGAGGGTTGTAGTGGGTTACTGGTTACACTAATCTTTGACTTAATTATGGATTTTAGTGGATTGTACTGGAGGAGCTGCTGTCTCTGAACTCCATACTTCTGGATCAGTGTTGTTAGAAATTAATAAATTAGTCAGATAATTATTAGACTTTAATGTGTTATTAATGCAGTTTAGTAAGATTCAAAGTCTGCTCTTGTGTGCTGTGTTAATGTTGATTCTGAAAAGTACCTTGACACTAGTTATTTTCTTGTATTAATCTTGTGTAAGAATTATGTCTGAATGGATGTTTGTTACACATCACGCATACAACATACACACACATGGAATTCTTCATTTTGTTATGACTTGTGCTCCATACATGCGGAGCATAAGATATGAGGACACGCTGGACTGTCTCCAACTCGTGATGTTTTTATATCTTTTTGTGTAAGGGGTTAGCCCAAAACCTTATAAATGTATTAGGCTCTGTGTTTCCGGGGTCTCTCTTCTCCAGCAGCTTGTCTGAGGGAGGGAGCCACCCGGGTTATTTTTTCTGTAACTTTTATTATTACTATTTGTGGCTTTTTTAAATAAACCAGCACTAAAATGAAGCAAGTCAGACTCCGTCTTCATTCAGATCTGTTCAATTAAAGAACTGGGGTATAACAACTTGGTGCCGTGACCTTCGGAATTGGCTGAATTCTGAGTGGACGGTCTGAACCGGCTCGCTGGATTCCATGTCGTGCGTGAATGGACTGCACAGATCAACATCAGCCGACAAACAGGTGAGCAGGAAACCTATTTACACATAAATCCTGCACATTGGACTTTGCCAAATGTAGTTGATCTGTGTGGACTGAATTCTCAACCTAAAATTGAATGATTACAGTAAGGATAAAATAACACTTTTATTCTGAAATGTGCTGTTTTGTTTATGCCACATTTTAAAGTTGCAAGCACATATTCTCATTTGAGGGATAGAACAATAAGTGCCCTAGTTACAAATTGATGACTATCAGAGACGTAAAATTCACATTAATAAGTGGATAACCACTAATTTTGACAGTTATCTCCAAAATTATTAGGATTTTTTGCTCCGATGGGAAAGCTGTCTTGCTGAACATGGAAGTCAGAGGCAAAGCCCTTCTCCGAACGGAGCACATTCCTGAACGTCTAAATATTTATAAGACGGTCACTGCTAACTGTTAAATGATTGAGGGCACAGGGAAATATTTTTTATTTTCTTGATCATTGTGTGGGTGGTTTGCTGCACGAAGGCTTTTGAACACTGTCACATGTGTATCTCATAGCAACAAGTGCTACTGTGAGAATTCGATGTGAAAACAGTGTGCCTCGGGCAGAGCTGTCTTTGGTTCCGGGGCTGGGCATAGTCTATGGAAAAACTGTATTATAGCCTTTACGGTGACAGCGTATTCAGTGGAATTAAAACAGAACTGTTGATTGGGAGAACCCCCAGCGAGCGGGCGCATCAGAAACGGTTCTGATGTAGGAGCTTCCCAGTTGGATCAATAATTCTGGACAGAGACCATTTCAGTTGAAACGCCAGTCACGTGTGCGTAATTTTCAATATGTCTGCAAACGTTGTTCAAGAGTGGGAAATGAGTAAATCTGAATCTTTGGGGTCAGTACTCTATAATTGTTTAAGTGGTTACATACAGTTCCTAAAGATGAGCAGGACACTGCAAGGGATAGGTTCATCTTTTAGGTCCTATGCAGATGCAAAAAGAAAAAAACAGATTTTTGGGGACAGTGACAGTCCTCCCCCACAAGGGGATACTATAGGGCTGTTTTTGAAGCAAGCCTCTCTTGCTGTAGTGAAGGCTAGGCAGGAAGTTAAGACCTGTACCTTCTTGACAAGGAACAGAACAGCAGCCAGAGTAAAACAAGCTGAGGGTTTCCTTGCTGATTGTATATGCTTTTTGGAGAATTTCAGGCATTTTCAGTCTCCTTCAGCCAGTTCAAGCAAGTCACAAGGACCAATTGATGTTAATTCTCTGTGTGGCACAGTAGTTCTAATGCAAGCTGCTGCCTCTGGCAGAGACTGCAAAGTGCAGTTCAGATACACACAGCCGGCTTCCCCACAATCTCCATGTGGAGAGCGGAAGCCAATACTGAAGAGTGGCTTATCTAGACAGATACCACAGAGTACAACACAGGACATGGCTGCCCTGGCAGTTGTACAGGGAGGAATTCTAAACACAGCATCAGTTCCAGGAAGTAAAGCTGACAGACTTACAGAACAGACTTATCTAAATGAGCTAAAATCTGGTTGTTTAGACCAGGTCACAACTCCAGTTGTCGGTGCTTGTGCCTCTCTCGCAGAGGAAGAGAATAGGCACTTTTGTGATTTTTCTGTGCCAGCAATGTCTCACGTTTCGGAAAGTGATGATGATTCCAGCTGGGACGGCATAGTGCATGATTTCTTATCACAACGTATGCATAGAGGGCGATGAAATATGTGTGATTGTTTTGGCATTTCCTCACACCAGCTGCCATTGTTTCAGTCCACCTCACATTGTGGAAAGATAACACAAGCCTACCCTCCTTTTAGCCTTCAAGACATGAGCACGCTACAGGAGGTAGAATTGATGGAGAACACTACTGAGGATGATGATAATGCTTCGTTCTATACTGAAATTCATTGGTTTTGGCTGATGATGAGCCAGAAATTCCCAGTACAGGTGCGCTCTGTTGAGCTGTGTAGAATTCCACCTCAAGAGGGTGAGAGAGGTAGTCAGTATTAGCTCAGAGTGCGTAAACTCTGGCAGAACCACACTGGTGATGACCCAGCCATCAGTGACACCATGGGGGTGCTGTTTCGCAGTGCTGTGGAGGCTTCCCTCCCAGCATCCATACAGCATCTTCTGAGACAGGTAGTGGGACTCTCCACATTTGCTTTTGAGCAGTGGTCAGCTTATGTCACTCAGTGTATTGACAATGAGCTGGAAGCACAAGAAAGGAATGCAAAGGAGCTTTCCTCTTTGCAGGCACAGTTAGCTAGGGCGCAGTTGAGGGAGGTGTGAGACGAGGTTAATCAAAGTAAGGCTACAGCTGACCAAATGCCTGTACAGCCAGATAGACAGCAGCAGCTCTTTGCTCCACAGCCGACCACACCACCTTATGAGTCGGATTCTGCTCCCATGTACTGTGGACCTCGGTACTGTGGCAGATCATGGGGAAGAGGTCAAGGACCTCGGACTCTCAGAAGAGCTCCGCCAAGAGATGACAGATGCTGGATTTGTAACGAAAGAGGACATTGGTCGCATAAATGTCCCTTTTCATATCAGCAGTCACAGGGTGTTCCGCGATATCAGTATCAGGTCTACCCACCTCCACGGGATAGATACAGTGGGTACGGAAAGTATTCAGACCCCCTTACATTTTTCACTCTGTTATATTGCAGCCATATGTTAAAATCATTTAAGTTCATTTTTTTCCTCATTGATGTACACACAGCACCCCATATTGACAGAAAAACACAGAATGTTTGACATTTTTGCAGATTTATTAAAAAAGAAAAACTGAAATATCACATGGTCATAAGTATTCA